TGTAGGTCTTGGATGTTTGAGTGGCCCATGAGCGAGCCTTCCCTGATGATAGTTCTACGTAGGGTTTCCCTTGGTCTTCCACGAGATCTTTTCCCCTGTGGTGTCCAAATGAGGGCTTGGTAAGGAAGTCTTGATTTATCCATTCTAAGGGCGTGGCGGACATAGTTCCAGCGGCGTTTTCGTATAAAATTAGACACATACTCTTGCCTGGATTCTTGCCTTATTTGTGTATTGGTTCGGAAATCTGACCATTTGAAATTTAGTATTCTTCTAAGGCATTTATTTTCAAAACTGTCTAATTTTGTGTCTAGAGTTTTCGTTGATTTCCAGCTCTCGCATCCATAGGTTAGTACTGGAATCACACAAGAATTGAAGATCTTGAGTTTTGTGTGTTTGCTAAGTGTCTTTGATTTCCAGATGTTAGACAGTTTATTGAAGGCACTAGATGCCAGTGCTATTCTAAATGATATTTCTGGTGCGGTATCTCCTGTAGATGACATCTTGCTCCCTAGATAAGTGAAAATGTTGACTTTTTCAAGGCTGTTGTTCAGCGTGATATCAACTGAACTGTTGGTAAGGTCTAGAATTTGTGTTTTTGCGGTGTTAATTTGGAGTCCAATTTGTTCTGAGAAATTCTGGAGTCGATTGATTTTTTCTTCTCTTGAGATGTCATCAGCACCAACAGCTTTGTTGTTTCTCAATTTTTCTCTTATGGCTGATTTCACCTCCTGTGGGATATTCGATGTAGATGAATGATTATCTAGTTGTTTCATGATATGGTATATGGCTTTGTTGTTTTCAGTTCCTTTTCGTTGCTATTTATTTGCTCGTTAGCTTTTTAGGAAATACAGAGACAGGCTCATATTACACATTATCCTCATGTTTTATACCCACATGTAACAATGTCATCCCATTGTCTCTTTCACCACAACCTTTAAACAGCAGTTGATTTCTCAATATGTATGAAATAGCTTAGTTGTCCACTCTTGATATCATCCAGTAGTAGTTTGTCTTCGCATTGTGGGGGCAGGGGTAGAATACGTCTTCATTTTGCCATATACAACAGAGAACCCTGGCACTCATTATGCTTGAAAAAAGTATCTCAGTACCAGCTGGACTCGGGGTTTCATTGGCGCCTCTGTACTGATGTAGTCAAAAATGGAGGTTGCAGAGTATACATTAAACACCCTCGCAGCAGAAGTAAAAGTACACTTTCTACAAGCAGGTTACATGTGCCCAAATTATAGAACTCAGGCAACTGTTCTTTTTTTCTGCAGTCTAGCACCGTATCATTTAGGATGAACACACAGGGCATTCAACTGTTATACTTAGTGACACTGACTTTTCTCACAGCACTATCAAGCAAACAAAACTAAGACAAACTGCACATCTAATGACTAGACTGGCTTGCTTTCCAAGGAAACAGAACAGTGGATACCATACCAGCCTACTGTGGTATTCCAGGAAATGAGAGAGCAGATGACCTGGCAAAAGTTGGGAGTAATCTTTCACAAACTCATCCACCACAGAGTTACAAAGAAACCAGAACTAAAGCAGCCATTGAAGGAAACAGAATGGAGACTACAGAGCAGAGAGAGTACAATATTTTTAATAAAAACTCAACAGGAAAGAATACACATAAATGTTCAGGCTTCAGTCATAGAGCACACGTACACAGGATAAGCACAAACAAATCTGCTGCCTGTGATTGTGGAGCCTTTAGAAAGATGCGTAATTATCTACCGTAGGACTGCCCTAACTACTTCCAGCAAAAGTTGATCTGGCTCAATGAAGCCATATTACAAGAGAAGCTGTGATGGACCAGCAACCACCTTAGACACAACACCCTCCCTATTCATGACAAAGACAGGATTGAATGTTTAGCATGACTGATGTCAAACCCAGAAGATTATTTTGCCCTTACCATTTAACATTTCACCAGATCAGGTGGGAATATAATATTCATTTAAATTTTGTACAATTCTTTTAGTAGGCAAATAATCCCTCTGCAGACAGAGACCAAGCTTTGTCAGATATCTACAAGTAAGTGAAGTAAAGCACCCTTTCCACACCTTTAGGCATATAGGGTTAGACCTATATTTTTAAAGACCAGTCGGCACAAGATGGGTGATGTGGTCAGCATCACGCCGGCCGCCTTTACTTTCCTGGGACTGCACCCGGTACCCATTCCAGGCTGGGTTGACCTGGGAGCCAAGGTCATTTTTTTAAAAGGTCCGGCTCCGCCAGGGAGCAAACCCACAAGATAATATCTACAGCAACATGGAAAATCCTCTGACATATAACCAGGGTTTTTCAACATGCCAACTATACATCATTCTATCGTGGGACTTGGGCCTCTGACCTGCAAAAATATATCTTTTCTAACATTTTAGCCCTTGAGTAATCGTAGCTGAATGGCCCGGCTTCAAACCATACGTTCAAAATAACAAGAGAAACAAGTGAAAACTAATATCACTAGAAAATGAGTATATTTTAAAAAAATCAAAACACATGCATAAATGTGACAACAATTTGCTAGTGTAAACATTTTCTGCTTGAAAAGTTACACAGAATTAATATCACTAGAAAATGATTATATTTCAAAAATATCAAAAACATACATAAATGTGACAACAATTTGCTTGTATAAACATCTGTGTGAAAAGTTGTTATAGAGAACTAATATCATTGTAAAATGATTATATTTTTTTTAAATCAAAAAACACATAGATGTGACAAAAATTTGCTAGTGTAAACATTTTCTGTATGAAAGGTTGTTATAGAGAGCTAATATCACTAGAAAATGAACATATTCCAAAAATATCAAAACACATGCACAAATGTGACAATAATTTGCTGGCGTTTACATTTTCTGCTTGAAAAGTTGTTACAGAGAACTAATATCTCTAGAAAATGAATATATTTCAAAAATATCACAAACATACATAAATGTGACAATAATTTGCTGGCGTTTACATTTTCTGCTTGAAAAGTTGTTACAGAGAACTAATATCTCTAGAAAATGAATATATTTCAAAAATATCACAAACATACATAAATGTGACAATAATTTGCTGGTGTAAACATTTTCTGCTTGAAAAGTTGTTAATAGAGAAGTAATATCACTATAAAATTAATGTTTCAAAAATATAACAAACATACACAAATGTGACAATTTGCTGGGTAAACATTTTCTGCTTGAAAAGTTAATGTTTTACAAATATCACAAACATACACAAATATGACAACAATTTGCTGGGTAAACATTTTCAGCTTGAAAAGTTGTGAGAGAATTAATAACACAAGAAAATTACCATATTTCAAAAATATCAAAACCCATGCACAAATGTTACAACAGTTTGGTGCTGTATTTATTTTCTACACTCCCCTGAAAGTGTAATGTCACAGGAATTTCAGTAAGGCAACAAACATAAGTTCAACAGGCAAGAGAGAGGGCCACGTCTTCCAAATTCAACATAATCACACAATAAACACACAAAATTCAGATTGCATACACAATGTATCTACATGCTAAATAAACAAAATACACCACAGATATCCAGCTGAGAATGGTGATGGAGTCATTTACCAAAAAACATAAATCCAAAACTATGGAAGAGAAATTACCGTATTTTCCTCTGCAGAAGATGGTATGTTTTCCCAACCTTTTTCCGTTCAAAATCGGGGGTGGTCTTATATATGGAATGAGTTCAAATATTTATTCTTTAATTTTTGGCTGCAAAATATACGTCGTCGTCTTACACGCAGGGGCGGCCATCTAATACCAGAAATATACTGTACCAGTTTAGATTCTAGCCAGTTATGTGTTATGCTAAATAAACTGACTACATCTTAAAATGATATTCTGAACCCAGTAAGTTTTCAGTGTCAACATTCTTTCATCTAACATATAGCAATATTCTTTAATTTATGTTTAATTTCTTACAAATCTCTTTTATATTTCTATTTCCATTTTTCACATTTACAGTTTTGTCACTGTATAAATTACATATCTAGATAATATTATTCACTAGTTTCTGTGGTGATTTTATTGACAGAGAAAGACTTTGACCGAGACATTTGTTGTATCCGTGTACATCTTTTCTTTCCATTTTAAGCTTCCGGATCACGTTTTGTGCTGTGTTAATTTAGCTTTTTTAAGAAGTGACATTTCAGTATCAGTCTTGCAAACTTAACTGGTTTTTGCTGCTGCTTTCTCAGAATACATGGTCTTAGCAGTTCTGCTTCAGTATACAAGATCATGAAATCAATTGAACTGGCAGTTACTGCAGGTGAATAGATTCATGACACTGTACACATAACTTGTTTAGAACTCAAACAATTTAAAACTTGTCTTGATACGTTTAAACATATTTTTTTTAAGGCAGAAAGTGGTAGAAGACTGTTATTTGATACATACATACATAATAATATTACAACCATCCGTGCAATCATGGGATAAAACTCATGACTGCTGATATATATATTTTTACATTTGATATCCTTATGACATTCAATGGAATTATGAAGAAAACCCTGTGTGCTAAATCATATACTATAGCACCAACAATATGACCACTGATAATGTTATATTTGATATAAAAGTACAAAGGTTGTTATCTTCATTTTAGCATCATTTTGAATACCAGTATAATTATGAGATAGAACAAAAATAATGTCACCAGATAAAGCATTCTTGCTTCTACTTTATTTGCTTGTCAGTGGTCATTTTAACTCTTAAAAAAAATGATTAGTATAAACTGAACAATACTTAATTAAATTATCCCCCAAAAACGTAATTACTTTATGAGACAATGATTTGAAAGTGTTCAATGGGGCAATGCTATTCACAAAACAAAAAGCAATAAAAGTTAGTATACAAATTCTGCTACAGAAGATGCATTAGAATTAGAGGCTTCCAAAAAAAAAGTTACCACCATTACAAGTAACAAAACAAGTACAACAACATATATAAGTAGGCGGTTTAACTCCATAACAAATTATGCTATCAAAACAAAATTTTCAGAAAAACCATTTTTCAAAATCTGTTTGTCTTCCTGGGACAAACTGGCCGTGCGTTCAACAATCAGCCAGTGATATTTTGCTAACAAACAGCGACTGTAGTCCAACCATTGTGACATATTCACAATATGAAATGTCCAGCATTTTTAACTCTGGAAGCCCAAAAGCAATTGTAGTAACAGCTCTGTCAGTGATTGACAGGCTTTCAGCAATGCATAACTCTTTCAGTTTCTTCAAATTCCAGACAATGTGATCGACTGCAAAATCGTCAACAGCAATTTCACAGAGAAATAAACATTCAAGCTCCAGCAAATACTGAGCAATGGTTACAATGCCATCAATACCTACCCTAAAGCATCCTCTAAGAGATAAATATTTCAAGTTCCTCCAATATGTAACATCTTCTATTTCAAAGTCATCTACATGCACACACTTGTCAAGAGTCAAATGCTGCAGGCGGGATAGTCGTCTCTGTTTATCTTTCATCCACTTAGGCCGCCAGACGCTTTTGACTATTTCCAGGCATGTGATGGATGCAGGAAGACAGGCAAATGAAAAATCGCTGGTTCTACATTCATAAAGATGAAGTACTCGCAGTCCTGGGCAACGAACAGACATCAAAACCAGCAGGGCGTCTGAGAGTGTCGGTCTTCTTCCACTGTTGACGTCACCTATTTAAAATTATTTGAACCATTTGAATAATAATAAAGGTAATATATTATTAATATGACAAGTGTGATTATGATGAAGATGATGATGATAACTACTGATAGTGATCTTCCTCAAATTCACCAGCTGTATAACTAGGCAGAAAGTTCTGGCTGTTCATCCCTTATGGGCTTTAGTCTTGTTTTAGAAACTGAGTTTTGCATACACATCCATTTTACAGATCTAGGCTGGTTTTTTTTTTTTTTTTGCAGACCAATGGTTTCTCACCTCTCAGGCAGATGCACTCTGATTTTGAATGAAACATCTCTAATTAGTCACTGGTCTGGTAGTTTCAGCTTCATAGCAAACGGGTCACCCCATCATTGCTCAGCTCCTGTGCCAACAAAAAACACACAGAATGTTTATCACAGTCCCTTGTGGAAAGATCGACAGACTGCTGTCTCAGCATATCTAGCATCACATGCATTAAAAGCATATGGTAGCCATCCGAAGTGCTAACACAAACAGTCCGACATAAGAAATGCAGTTCATCATTGATGGTTGCAGAAATCATCAGCAGTTGCACACGCGATCAATTTTAATCACATAAGGGCACCACCAACGCTGCGACAACAGGCATCGCGCCATTTTCTGAATCTACAATTCACACCACCATGTTGTTCAGTTAAAAAAAAACATTCCAAATAAAATCTGCAGCTCACAGTGTCACGCCATGCATTCAACTCAGAAGCTGGGGGACGAAACTATATCCTTTCAGTCTACAAATGGAGCAAAAATGCAACGGCCACCGTCTGGCAGAAGCAAAATATTTACCTCAGCTCCAAACAGTGCCAGTGCCTAGCGTCCATTTTGACCCTAATTAGTCACAGTTTACATCATGCTCGTTAGAGGCAGCAAGTCTATTCTTCTTTGTTCCCCACAACTGGGCCCCAGAACCTATACAGGGATAATGCTGATAATAATGACAGATAAATAAATATTCAAAAGATGTTGCTGAAAATTATTTTTAAAAGGGACAATTTACTATGGCCATATCAAATAACTCATTTTTTGATAGCCGCAGATTAGGAAAGATTTGAGTTCACAAAAGTTAGAGGATATCAAAAATATAAATATACGTACAATACCACAATATTACCAAGATGCAATGTAGCAGAGTTTGCAATCAAAGCTCAAGACAAAAATATGTATGAATGCATGAATTAATTGAGAATTATATTTCCTTAACTTGGGACTTTTTCATATATGCACTGGTCTGGTAGTCTTAGTTTCAGCTTTATAGCAAAGGGGTCACCCCATCTTTGCTCCGCTCCTGTGACAACGAAAAACACACAGAATGTTTATCACAGTCCCTATATTCACTGTCCCCTCTCCTGGCAGCCAATGAAGAGTACCCATTCTTCTTCTTCAGATATCTCTGGTAAACCAGGGACATGGTCAACACACTAAATTCTCCCAACCTTCCACCTCTGTTGTTGTTATCCTGCTAGTGAACGCTTGGAGTCAATGACGGAAGGAAATATTTCAAATCAAACTTTTACTGAGGAAATAACACTATATGATGATTATATCTATGTAGTAATAAGGCAAGACTTTAATATAAGTGAAATCAATTTGTCACAAGCGATGGCAAATAGATTTTTAAAACCCCCAAGGCACTGCCATAGGAGGTAGACTGACAGTTTTAGCAAAAACAATTTACAAGATCAAGCCTCAATAATCACTTCAGATGTAAGATTACACACAAATAAACAGATGATGTGTAAGTGCAAATCATGTGCTGGGACAACTAATATCACTTTTCATATTTTGTGTGTGTCTATGTGTGTTCACTGGCTGTAAACTTCAGGGAAAAAGTTATGGTTGTTTACCCACTTCTGACTTTAGTCTTGTTTCAGAACTTGAGTTTTGCATGCACATCAGTTTTACAGATTTGACTTAATTGTATGCAAACCTAGTTGCTCCCCTCTGAGACAGATGTACTCCATCTTGAAAGGAAAGCCTAATAAGTCAACTTTTACAACATGTTTGTTAGGAAACAGTGGGTCTTTTCTTTTTTCCTTACACAGGAGAACCCCATAACCCACAAGGGGAACTTATAATATACAGTAAATTTAAGATTAATGAGGACTGTTCCATGGGACAGATTCATAAGTGCTCTGATTTCCTCCTCGGAAGGCCCACAAACATAAAATGACTAACCACACCTGTTCTGTGTTAATCAAACACCCAGTGCCCTGTGTTAACCACACCTGTTCTGTGTTAAACACCTGGTGCCCTGTGTTAACCACACCTGTTCCGTGTTAATCAAACACCCAGTGCTCTGTGTTAACCACACCTGTTCCGTGTTAAACACCTGGTGCCCTGTGTTAACCACACCTGTTACGTGTTAATCAAACACCCAGTGCTCTGTGTTAACCACACCTGTTCCATGTTAATCAATCAAACACCCAGTGCCCTGTGTTAACCACACCTGTTCCGTGTTAATCAAACACCCAGTGCCCTGTGTTAACCACACCTGTTCCGTGTTAATCAGTCAAACACCCAGTGCCCTGTGTTGAATGAGATATGAGTTTGATTATCTTTACAGCACTCCAGACACGCCCATAGGCACTCAGATTTCCCCTTCAAAATTTTCATTAGCAATGTGAGGTTAATAGTGCTAGTCCTATGCTGGTTGACAAGGCTTCATGTGCGTCCGGTGTGCTTCTCATGCTTGGTTGTGCCGATGTTTACTCCCAATTCTTGTATTCTTAGCAGTGATGTGGATACGTTGCTTTCCAAGTCCTTGCAATGTCCTATCTCTGTAAGGACAATGACGATGCTGTTGAATGTTCGTGTCAGGCAGCTCCAGGTTGCACCCGTCATATCCACCTGCCTGGACAGGGATATGGAGCCAAGCCTTTCCTGACATACAGAAAGACACCTACATCTATCAAAAAGACAAATTTCATGGCCCCATGCTTCTTGTGTCAAACATGGACCTTTACTATATCTGATAAGCAGTAAATCATAATGCTCGCAGCTGGGATCTATTGCGGAACTGTGGATTTTGAAGCATGTTCACAATGCCTAATCAGCACTGAAGCATGATTTTAAAATTGATTTAGGCTCTCAAGCTGATCCAGTCTTTAAAAAAAGGGGGGGGGGGGGGGGGGGGGGGGGGGGGGGGGGGGGGGGGGGGGGGGGGGGGGGGTGGTACCAGGAATTCAATGTAACATGTTTATCTCAAATAATGCAAAAATTTTCTGCAATAAGTTACCATCTACACCAGTGTTTCTCTCCAAAATAGGATTTTGCGGACCATGTGACAGCTAACTAAAGATAGAAGCATAACCATCATGTGTTCAAATATAACTGCTTTATGCAGTTCAACAGGGTTTGCGGGATTCTGACATGTCTGATTGTTATCCTGGAGGTGTTAAACCTGTATAATGTACTCCTGGATGTGAAAAACTATCAACTCTACCCTGTTAGATTACTATACAGACAATTTTGGCAGTCCACCTGGACTTTTCTACGACCCACTAGTAGTTGAACAGTGATATATGGATTCTTCACAATACAAACCCTGTTTTACAATTACCTGATGCTTTCTTAGTTTTATTTTGAAAGTAAATATTTAAAAGTTTTACAGTCATTTTCTATGGCCAATAGCAGCTGAGCAAATACAATTTACATATCTAGAAAATAACCATTAAATTAATGTGAACATTGATCTCTCATTCAGCTGTTTAAACAGTAATAGATATGACAGTCTAAGTCAGTGACTAGTACACTCACCTGTCAAGCTAAAGAGGCAGGGTTTGAATTCCCAAACAGGGTGTGAATTATGTTTGTGGCCACATCATAAGTTCTAGACAGCATTCTCGTGAGTGGATGGGTGGCCACATCAGTCAATGAGTCTTAACTGGTATAAACCAATATGGCCCTGGCACCATGACCTCAAGAATCCCCACAGCGTGGCAGCTGGTTCTTGAACTTAATAATTAGTAATGATAAAATACTGGGTGTATTCAGCAACTATAACAATAGGATATGGACTTAACTATAACAATAGGATATGGACTTGACTATAACAATAGGATATGGACTTGACTAGAACAATAGGATATGGACTTAACTATAACAATAGGATATGGACTTAATAAACAGTTATAATATTAAAACTTGAACTTAATAAAAGATTCTAGCATAATAATTTAAACTTAGTAATCAGTTACAGTATTAAACTTAAGCTTAATAAACAGTCATAGCATTAAAATGTAAACTTAAAAAGTTATAATAATATAAAATGAACTTAAACTTCAGCACAATGTTAAACTGAACAAAAAGTTTAAGCAATATTATTTAATTATAAAAATTAGAACAATTTAAATACAGTGTAAACATGAACATAATTAGCAGTTAGTATAAAATAATGTGAACTTTCAAAACAGTTATAGCATTTCAATATTAGCCAAAGAAACATTCTGAACAATAAGAATTTGAATTTATCAAACAGTTTTAACATTAACGCTTGAACTTAACAGGCGATTCTAACAATAAAACACCTGGATCAGCAAAGCCGCGTATCTTCAGTGAGTGCAGACTTCCAGACAAATAAGCTCTGAGAATTTTCCTCATTGACCTCAGATCAAGGCGGTACTCAAGCAGATCCACATGTCTCCACAAAAAACCATCAGAAAGAACTCGTTCCCATTTTCTGCTAACACTGCACACGAAATATTGAAAATGAAACAAATTGTCTGGAATAGCTTTCTTACAATATACATTCTCAATCAATCAATCAGTCAGCAGGTTCTTATACGGCACTGCTCTCTTCATGACATGCCTGCAAGTCAATCTCCAGCCAATTCTTCAGCCCTATGTGCTTTTAGAGTCAGTGCATCATCAATGTCTTGTTTCCATCTTCAAGGAGGTCATCCTCTGCGTTTTCCCTAAACTGCACCCCCCCCCTTCCTTACAAATATCCAAAGGAGGCTAACTACCTGGGACCTCCAAAGCGATGCTTGCCACTCTGCACAGAGCTTGCCTATCTTCACCTTTATCAACAACCTCTGTCAGTCAGTTACAATTAAGACAAGTGTGCAGCTGATTCTCAAGTCAGTAGAAAGCAACAATGACTGCCTTCACGTTTAATCTAAAACCAGACACCTAACAATAGCCACAAACAAATGTCAGATTTGTTGAAGTTGAAGATCTATTACAGTCCATTTGTCTTGTCAAGATATTCAGAAAGTGCTTGCCTGATTGAGGTACATGAGATAAGTAGTAGTTATGGCACTTATGGCAGCTAAAAAAAATATCCTGTTAATACAATTATTGAGATTGTGATACTAATTATTTTGTGTCCAACATATTTCATATTTATGCTTCTGCTAATTCATGTTCACAACATGATAATGATTGAATTCGTTGAATTCATATTTTACTGACAAATATTTCAGGTGCTATGCCAGCTTACTGAATAGTTTTCCGGGTTTTAAAGTTTTAAATTAATTTAGAAACTTTTACAACTTATTTTTATGATATAAACTAAAACTCCACGTGCATCATGATGGCAAAAACATGTTTCCTTTCATTTATACTAGTCTAATAAAATCTTACCTCATTGATCGTAAGCGATCTACCATGGGTAAATGTTGAAAGACTTTTAACAGAACATCGTCTGGGAGTTTTTCAATGGGGGCACCAGAACTTGGGCCCGCTGCTGTCTCCATTTTATTTTAAATACAGTGATGGCTTGAAGTAAAATATTTATAATAATTAATAGTGTGTTCAGCAGGCAAAGCTGAACAGCACAATGCAACTGGTCTGAATCTGACGATAGCAGTGTTTGAAGTTTTCGTCTTTCAAAGTAAACAGACCAACCCCGTGAACCCAGATGAGTTTTCTGTGATCTGCTTGTTCTGTTGTCACCAGGGCTGCCAATATGATTTTTTTTTTTTTTTTGAAAAACCCAGCTAAGCTGAACAAAAACCCAAGGAATACATAGGCAAAGAATTGAAAACCCAGATTGTTAAAAAGTACACATTTTATAGTTACGAAACTGAACATTTACCCACTTTTATATATGGATATTATTTTTTAAACCCCAAATTTCAAAATCTGAACCCAATGCGTCAAATAAAAACCTATAGCTTCTCTATCAATGTGGCTCCCTTGGGCCAGATCCACAGTCTTTGCTGGGAGAGGTAAGGGCAGTACTGCAGTATGTGCCCAGGGGTCTGTCTTTCTGCTCCACAATCACAGGCAGCAGATTCTGTTATGCCTATCCTGTACAGGTGTGCTCGAAGACCACAGTGTCCAGTCCGAAGTCTAAAAATTGATGTTTGTTCTTTCCTGTTGAGTTTGTTTATGCTGTCACCCTCTGGTCTGTAATCTCCATCCTGCCTTCTCCACTCCCGCTTGAAAGACTGCTTTAGCGCTGTTTTGGTTTCCTTGTAGCTGTGTAGTGGATGAGGTTGTGAAAGATTACTCCAAGCTTTTGCCAACTCATCTGCTCTCTCATTTCCTTGAATACCACAGTGTGCTGGTATCCACTGCAAGACCAGTTCTGCTTCCTTGGAGAGTAAGCCAATGTTGGTCCTTAGATCTGCAGTTAGTTTGTCTTGTTTTTTTTTTTTTTTTTGCTGGATAGTGCTTGAAGAACATACAATGAGTCACTAAGTATAACAATTTTGTGCCCTCTTTGTTCTTGATTGATGAGATGTTGGACTGCAGAAAGGAGGGCAGTTGCCTCAGCTCTGAAGTTAGTGCAGATGTCACCTGCTGGTAGAGAGAGAGTTTCTGCTCTACTGCTAGGGGGTTTAATGTATATTCCACAACTCAACTCCCCTTTCTGACTGCATCTGTAGCAGAGCCGTGGGTGAAAACCTGAGTCCAAGGGGTGTTTGGATTCTTCTCATCAAGCATAGCAAGAGCCATGATTCTCTGTTGGGTCTCCGTCTAGGCATCTTTTGAAGTGATCTCTGGTACCTTTAGGACTACATTTGCCTTCTCTGGTTTGCTTGTCCATGGTTCTGGTCTAAGTTTTTCGCACAGTGCTACATCACTTTCAAGCAGATCTGACGCTTCCGTCTGTTTTTTGTTCTCTCTTGAAATTAAAAATGCAGTAGGTGACTTTCAAGTCTTTTTTTTTCTTATGAGGGACCGGTGGCGACCTTAAACGCACAATCCTATTTGTGACCCAGACGGGACTCAATGTTTAGCATGACTGATGTCGAACGCAGAAGAAGAAATACTCACATCGTCAATACACCAACGCCAGTCGTAAGCATATGTGGTATGGACATTGAGAGAACGGACACCATGAAATACCTGGGTATGACATTTGACAGATGCTTGTCATACAAATGCCACGTAGACAACGTCATACTTAGAGCCAGAAAAGGTCTGACAGCACTCAAGGTGCTAGCAGCAGCTGATATTGAACAACGCCTACTTTTCCTTCTCTATCAAGGGCTTGTGCTTAGCGTCATTGACTATGGTCTTGGCCTCCTCACTGTCAGCAAAACCCAGCTAGAAAGACTGGACCAAGTACAAAATGAGGCCATGAGACTCATACTCGGCTGCACAAAAGACACCTCCTGCAACGCCATGCGTTATGTCCTGGGTTTGCCAACGATGACTAGCAGATACAAAGTGGCACAAGTCAAGGCTTACATGAGGGTATCGGCAGACGCTAACCACCCCCATTGCACAAAGCTTATATACGACACAAAAGGAACGCGTCTCAAAAGAGGCCGCTCTTGGATGGCAAAGGCTGAGAATTTGATCCAGCAGGTATGTGACCTACGCGTTATCAGGCACGGAAAAGAATGGATGAATACACCAGTAGACATGCATGGCATCTCTAAGGTTGTCATCACACTAGGAAGGTACTGTCGGGATCAGATTCCTGCGGCCATAGACACAGAAGTAAGGAACTGATAGATCAGCATTCAGACCCAGAAGATATCATCATCTACACAGATGGGTCCGTGAAGCGCGGATCAAGGTCAGCATGGGCATACACAGCGCAAAGAAGGGGGAAAACAATACATGAGGACAGCGGCGCTTACCAACAACCACGTCAAGCATGACCATGGAAATAGCCGCTGCTTCTAGAGCTTTAGCATGGGTATCCGAGCAAACCGCCACACAAGCAGTAATTGTCTCAGACTCAATGAATATGCTTCAAAAATAGCAACAGGCAGTATGCGCTCTGAATGGATAGAAAGCATTCGGAAATCGCACTTAACTTCCGTAACCTGGATCTACACACCGGGTCATGCGGGCGTAAAGGGAAATGAGCGAGCGGACCAAACTGGCACAGCACTAATGATTGCGGGAAAAAGCATGGACAGAGCAGATATCGTTACGCTGTACGTACTGGGCTAGTGGATAATATCGAATCCCTGACACTAACACGATTGCGTGACATGGGAGTTAAGCATGGTGAAGCACGTCTTTGCCGTCTGCGAGGCCGAGAAAGGAGACAATATAACCAGCTTCTCATGGGGACAATTAGTAGAAGTACTTTGGAGTGGCTGCTGCTTCGGAGGACTGCGCACGCATGGTATGCCCAATGTGCAGTGACGTCGATTGTGATAACAAAACACAAAATAACATTTTATAGGAAGTCGGCATTCTGAAACCCAAGTTCAAGGTGTCTCCTTCGTGCCAAAGAACTGCATGGCTGTTGGGTGAACAGTCGTTAACGAAGGCAGTCAGGTCGTTGTAGGGGCGACGCCTGCTGGTGGATGTAATGTCCTAAGTCCCTTTCCCAGCTAATAGTGAGGGTACTGCTGGGGTGACCATTTGTTAACCCCTCACATAATTTTTTTTTTAAAGCCGTGGCAATTCTGCCAGGCGGTGGCCGTTGCATTTTTGCTCCATTTGTAGACTGGAAGGATATAGTTTCGTCACCCAGCTTCTGAGTTGAGTGCATGGTGTGACACTGTGAGCTACAAGTGTTTTTCGTTGGCACAGGAGCGGAGCAACAATGGGGTGACCCGTTTGCTATGATGCTGAAACTAGGATTACCAGATTACCAGATTACCAGAAGAAGAAATAAAAACCCAGATCTGGTGGCAAAAACCCATCATTGGCAGCCCTGGTTGTCACCATTTGAATAGTTCGTTTCGTTGATGCTTTCCAAGTACGCTTTTCATGAAACCAGTATATTTATTCATATTTTGGTCACATGGTTTATGTCTGCGAATTTTCACGTTTTTTGGGGTGAAACACATTCACACTAGCCTTGTTAACACGAACTCGCTTACGAAAAATAGACGGTTGAAATAAACCCAATTTTGGTCGCAGCAGGAATGAAACTGTAATGTTATGAGTCCTCATTTGGCACAAAATTTTATTTTTTTAAACACTGACTCGGTTTTCGCTCTACTATAATTCATCTAAGAGGTTAGGTTTTAACAGAGGGTCACTACACCAAAAATTTTAATTTTTTTTTATTTACAGAGTTAGAGCAGTTATTTTATAATGGTCATTTGTAGGGATACGTGTTATTACATTTTTATACTTTAAGTGTTAAAAAAATCATAGTTGTCATGGCAATAGCCGCCATCTTGTGAAAAAAACAATATGTAGGTAGAATCCTAAAATTTTAAAAACAAACATAGGTTTTCAACAATAGATGATGGATTCATGACCTGTCATCCTTG